TGGACAGAAGAGAGTGAGTGGAGATGGGAGAGGGTGTGTGTTGGACAGAAGAGGGTGAATGAGGACAGAAAATGATGGTGGAGGCAGAAGAGGGTGAGTGTGGCCAGAAGAGGGTGAGTGGGGGAAGGAGAGGGTGAGTGGGGGAAGGAGAGGATGACTGTGGAGAGAAGAGGAGAGGGTGAGTGGGGACAGGAGAGGGTGAATGTGGAATAGAGAGGGTGAGTGGGGACAGGAGAGGGTGAATGTGGAATGGAGATGGTGAGTGGGGACAGGAGAGGGTGAATGTGGAATGGAGATGGTGAGTGGGGACAGGAGAGGGTGAATGTGGAATGGAGATGGTGAGTGGGGACAGGAGAGGGTGAATGTGGAATGGAGAGGGTGAGTGGGGACAGTAAAGGGTGAGTTGGTGCAGCAGGTGGAATGCCAGGGGCAGAGCTTAGCATCAGGAGGGGATAAACATAATTCCAAATGCGGGCAGAAGCTGAAGCTTCATGTATGCTGAACATAGGATCCATGGGATGGAGGCTCCACGGGGATCGATTTAAGAACTAACAAAAGGTACTTGTAGGCACCATAATGGACATGAACTTCAGCACCACTTGTACTTTTGAAATGCCAATTCCTGTTTTAGAATTCTAAGCACTCAACCAAATCCAAAACTGAATTTGGAATTCAAACTGTTACTCCCTCTACATCTCGGGATCTGATCTCCTGTGCTTGTCTGTGCAGCGTCCTGACTATACAAAGCTAGTCAATAAATAAAACACAATGTTAACGCGAACACCAGAATTCCCATCAACTTGTGAAAGTCTGCCCCAATGCAGCCTCTCCACACTGCATTATCAACCTGCAGTACTCTAGATGGAAGAAGATTATTTCACACATAATGAAAGGGGGAAAAAAGGAAGTTGATAGCTATCGGCCAAGAAATGGATAGGACCCTTATGCATGAGCCCGTCTGTCTGCTCATTAAAACAAATCAAATATTATCTACGATATGAAAGGGTAATTGTTATGTTAATAAGCTTTGCTGAGAATGAAAGGGAGACAGACGTGATTTATACAGGACCTCCTATCACATTGCAACATAAAAAAATAACAGAAATAGATAATAGTATACACAGATGTCACCACTACAGCACATTGACATCACTCTAATGCCAGTCACTCGCTATTTCACAGTAATTTCAGGGTGTGTTTTTAAGTAAATACATTCTTTAATCTGAATTATATATTAACTCAAAAATAACTGAAAGTATTTTAATACTGCATATATAAAGAACTTAAACCTGCATACATATTAGCTGTGATTCTTCACCTGCACAGCAAAACCCAGACGTGAAGAGGGAGAGCAAGCAGTGTGAGTCTCCTCTACATAGCACAGGGTTTTAAATCAATCTAACACTGGGAAAAAATGCTTACATGAGGACAGAGCACAAAAATGACCTCATCAGTGCATTGCTGCTCATTAATTGCCCAATCAGTAACCAGGGGTTAAGTACCAGGAAGGCAAAGCTTCAACAGCGATGTTTTTTTTCTTACTAAAATCACTTACTGTTATTATGATGTCAGAGTTGTAGCATATACTTTTTGTATGGACAATGTTTGTGGTTATTACGAGAGAGAGAGAGAATTGAGATAAAGATGTTTAGGTCACAGCACAACCTACAACAGTCAGGAGTATGTAAGGTACAACACAAGCTACAGAGTACAACAGTCAAAAGTATGCAATATACAACAAGAGAGTATAAAAGTCAGGAGTATGTATAGCGTACGGCACAATTTACAGAGTACAACAGTCAGGAATATGTAATGTACATCACAAGTTACAGAATACAACAGTCAGGTGTATGTAATGTACAGCACAATTTACAGAGTACAACAGTCAGGTGTATGTAATGTACATCACAGGTTACAGAGTACAACAGTCAGGAATATGTAATGTACATCACAAGTTACAGAGTACAACAGTAAGGAATATGTAATGTACATCACAAGTTACAGAGTACAACAGTCAGGTGTATGTAATGTACATCACAGGTTACAGAGTACAACAGTCATGTGTATGTAATGTACATCACAAGTTACAGAGTACAACAGTCAGGTGTATGTAATGTACATCACAAGTTACAGAGTACAACAGTCAGGTGTATGTAATGTACATCACAAGTTACAGAGTACAACAGTCAGGTGCATGTAATGTACATCACAAGTTACAGAGTACAACAGTCAGGTGCATATAATGTACATCACAAGTTACAGAGTACAACAGTCAGAAATATGTAATGTACATCACAAGTTACAGAGTACAAGTCAGAAATATGTAATGTACATCACAAGTTACAGAGTACAACAGTCAGGTATATGTATTGTACATCACAATTTACAGAGTACAACAGTCAGGTGTATGTAATGTACATCACAGGTTACAGAGTACAACAGTCAGGTGTATGTAATGTACATCACAAGTTACAGAGTACAACAGTCAGGTGCATATAATGTACATCACAGGTTACAGAGTACAACAGTCAGGTGTATGTAATGTACATCACAGGTTACAGAGTACAACAGTCAGGTGTATGTAATGTACATCACAGGTTACAGAGTACAACAGTCAGGAATATGTAATGTACATTACAAGTTGCAGAGCACAACAGTCAGTAGTTACAGAGTATAACAGTCAATAGTATATAACGTACAGCACAATTTAAAGAGTACAACAGTCAAGAGTATGTAACATACAGCACAGCTTGCAGACTGCAATAGTCAGAGATATGCCTGGGGTATGTACTGTATGTAGGCATGTAGTGTCCCCTTACTTTGGTAGTCAGTGGATAAGTGCCCTCCATATTGGTAGTCAATAGAAAAGTGCCCTTACATTGGTGGCCAGAGGTGAGGTATACCCTTACATAAAGTGATTAATAATGAAGTGCCTCCTTATATTGGTGGTCATTGGTGAAGTGCCCCTTTACACAGGTGGTCAGTGGTGATGTTCCCCCTTGAATTGGTGGTAAATGACAATCTGACCCTTTATGTTGCTGGACTGATCATTGGTGATATGTCCCCTTACACTGGTGGTCAGTGGTGATGTTCCCCCTTGAATTGGTGGTAAATGATGATCTGACCCTTTATGTTGCTGGACTGGTCATTGGTGATATGTCCCCTTACACTGGTGGTCAGTAGTAATGTTCCCCCTTGAATTGGAGGTAAATGATGATCTGACCCTTTATGTTGCTGGTTATTGGTGATATGTCCCCTTACACTAGTGGTCAGCAGTGGTGATGTTCCCCCTCGAATTGGTGGTAAATGACAATCTGACCCTTTATGTTGCTGGACTGGTCATTGGTGATATGTCCCCTTACACTGGTGGTCAGTGGTGATGTTCCTCCTTGAATTGGTGGTAAATGACAGTCTGACCCTTTATGTTGCTGGACTGGTCATTGGTGATATGTCCCCTTACACTGGTGGTCAGTGGTGATGTTCCTCCTTGAATTGGTGGTAAATGACAATCTGACCCTTTATGTTGCTGGACTGGTCATTGGTAATATGTCCCCTTACACTGGTGGTCCGTGGTGATGTTCCCCCTTGAATTGGTGGTAAATGACAATCTGACCCTTTATGTTGCTGGACTGGTCATTGGTAATATGTCCCCTTACACTGGTGGTCCGTGGTGATGTTCCCCCTTGAATTGGTGGTAAATGACGATCTGACCCTTTATGTTGCTGGACTGGTCATTGGTGATATGTCCCCTTACACTGGTGGTCAGTGGTGATGTTCCCCCTTGAAATGGTGGTAAATGACGATCTGACCCTTTATGTTGCTGGACTGGTGATTGGTGATCTGTCCCCTTACATTGGTGGTTTCTGGTGACGTGTCACCTTACAGTTCTTAGAAATGGAGAGACCACAAATCATGTAAGTCATGTAACGGGCTTTCAAGCCTGCATAATCTTGCTGCAACAAATTAATTAATACAAAAAGTAAATGTAAACTAAGTGGACATTTTACTTTAGTACAGTTGCAATGTTTCCTAGAGATTATCTCGTTGAATTATTTCTTCATGTCAGTTACATATAAGAAGGCATTACAAAACAAAATACCTATACTTAGATGGAAAAAAGACAGAAATACTCAAGGATGTAAAAATACAATAAACATACTGACAATGGCTAGGATAATAATGAAAACTACAATTTAATTTGAACCTTCTACCTACACATGACCAGACACCTTTCCAGTGAATGCAGAACCCCCAACAGCCCCTGTAAGCAGTGCTGGTCCTGCTACATTGTTCAGCAAGGACTGAGTTAAACAAATTCCTTTTCAAAGCTGATTTCCAGCTGATTGTGTCTGATATTTATAACCAAGCTCCTCTCTCTCGCTCTCAGAGAGGTTGTGGAGTGTGTGAATTGTGTGAGGTTCTTCGGCTGGAGGTGGGAGGGAGAGCAATGGAAGGAGGGAGGTTCAGTCCTACAAGAGAGATGTTGGGAGGAGGTATCTCTTCATTACTGGAGTGGGGCAGAGATTCAGGTGGTAGGAGAAGCAGATGGGCTCAGACAGATAATAACTAGCCTCTCAGACAGCCACTACAAACAAGAGCTAGGCTCCTCTGCATAAACCAAAGTTGTTTTGGAAAGGACCATGAGAAGACAAATGCCTTTGGATATTAAATTAAGTCCACCTCAAGACAGCCAGGTGCATTGTCACTGTCCACCTACCATGGGGAGCTAAGGATGGCCAATTTGTTGACTTTATCCATGGTTACTATGCTCTCTACCTAGAGCTCAATTAAGCTGCGGTGCTGAAATGGCCAGCACCCAGCAAACTTGGCATCTCAATGACTCCTGGAAGGGCAATGGTGGAGGAACCGGCTTTGCGGGTAACTTTGCCTTCTCCTGGACTGTGCTCTTGGCTGTACTCATGGGAATCTTGATAGTCACCACAGTGCTGGGCAACGCTTTGGTTATGTTGGCTTTCGTGGTAGACTCCAGCCTTAGGACTCAAAACAACTACTTCTTGCTCAATCTGGCCATCTCTGACTTTCTAGTGGGTAAAGTATCATTCTATTTATCTAATGTCTATCAAATTTTGCTCACGTATATGAAGCCAACAGACTTTAACCTTACCCTCTGCTTCAACAAAAGCAATCTCCTGCCAATGAAATAGTCAGAGTACACAACTAATTCAACCTAAAGCCATTTATTCAAGCTGTATGTTTACATACACCTGGAGGAAACCCATATCACACAAATCGTCTCTTTAGAGGTTTTGATTTGTTGACAATTTGCATAAAAATTTAATTTAGGTTTTACAAGAACAGAAAATATACTCATTGCTTAAGCTGGATTCATGTTCTTTTTTTAACTAAATATAAATGTAGGCATAATAAACACTCTGTGACCCACAGTAACCAATTAGATTTGACATTTCTCTGATTTGAGTTGTTGTACAATGCACAAGATACCTGCTCTCTGAAATACCTTACTGAATATACATTTAATCCAACATATATCACATTGAAGAGTAAAGAACTAATAAACTTGTTTTTTACATATAAAGTCAGGTCTATTAGCCATATGAATTCCACCCCACACCATAAAACATATATAGAGAGATTTTTTTTTTTTGTGTAAAATAGGAAGTACCATTAGGTATATCCCCCTACTGCTGGCTTCAATGGTCAGCATTTCAAGGAAGAAAACCGAGCACAGTAGCCTCACAGCTGCTCATCAATGCTAACCAAGCAGCCAATCAGTAAAGATATTGAATGGGTAGCAACCTGATGGTCAGCCACCGGGGCAAAAATAAGGAGCTATTTAAATATCAAGGTTAGGACCCCACCCCAACAAAAAATAAATCCGTTTTATAAAAATAAAGTTTCAGTAAGACCCATATAGGTTTTTATATTGAAGGTTACAAAAACATAATTGTGAAAAAAACTAAGATATTAATAAGCATGCCATGGTAGGAAATGATTACCCAGTCCACACAAGATTGCAAGCTCTTTAGCCAACTAAACCAGTTTAGGAGGACCACATCTCAGTGGGTTTTCTTTCCTTCAATTCTTCACTCTGGACATGGATTTCTAATTGCCTTCTGAGGGACTTCTTGCTTGTGATGATGATCTTTTAGTAAATGTAACAAAATAGACAATTTCCGCTCTAATTTACTACCGTCCTTTACAGATACGCAGTACCTCACGACCTATGTATCTATAGAATGTGTTGGGGAGTAAACAGTTTAAATGCACAGCCATCTCTTGCTTGTGAGTGATTTCTTACAAATCATTTCTGGCAAGGTTAATTATCAATGTCATTTTCAGTTCTGGCTGTACTTGTCAAGTAGAATTCTGAGCCCAGAAGGACCGTAATAAAATATGTGATACAAATTAAGTGGGTTTTCCCTTACACGGGTCTCAATGTTAATATCTGCATAAAGATACACAAGGGCATCCTTTCTGTCACAGAACAACATGCATTGAGAAGTCTGCCCACCTTAGCTTGAGTCACATCTCATCAGGACCTGTTCGGATCGCTCCTTGCAAAGATACAATGCACAGATTTCGTATTGAATGCTTTATTCTTTTTTGAAGCTTGTTTGCAGATGTAGCATGTTGGACAATGTAAGAGCACAATAAAAAAAATAACTGTTTGCCAGTGCTCTTCATACATTCTGCTATTTACCCCTAGATGGACCAAGAGATTGCCTTGCATGCATTTATTGACCTGTGTATGGCCAACCCCTACACAGGAGACTGTTTTAGGCTACCTACAGAAGTGGACTTGTACATTAATTGCTAAAGCAGTCACACCTGACTCATGGCTTTGCTTTAGCACACATACTTAGCTGGATTCTAAGCATACAGATGCATACAGTCAGGTCCATAAATATTGGGACATCGACACAATTCTAACATTTTTGGCTCTATACACCACCACAATGGATTTGAAATGAAACAAACAAGATGTGCTTTAACTGCAGACTGTCAGCTTTAATTTGAGGGTATTTACATCCAAATCAGGTGAACGGTGTAGGAATTACAACAGTTTGCATATGTGCCTCCCACTTGTTAATGGACCAAAAGTAATGGGACAATTGGCTTCTCAGCTGTTCCATGGCCAGGTGTGTGTTATTCCCTCATTATCCCAATTACAATGAGCAGATAAAAGGTCCAGAGTTCATTTCAAGTGTGCTATTTGCATTTGGAATCTGTTGCTGTCAACTCTCAAGATGAGATCCAAAGAGCTGTCACTATCAGTGAAGCAAGCCATCATTAGGCTGAAAAAACAAAACAAACCCATCAGATAGCAAAAACATTAGGCGTGGCCAAAACAACTGTTTGGAACATTCTTAAAAAGAAGGAACGCACCGGTTAGCTCAGCAACACCAAAAGACCCGGAAGACCACGGAAAACAACTGTGGTGGATGACCGAAGAATTCTTTCCCTGGTGAAGAAAACACCCTTCACAACAGTTGGCAAGATCAAGAACACTCTCCAGGAGGTAGGTGTATGTGTGTCAAAGTCACCAATCAAGAGAAGACTTCACCAGAGTGAATACAGAGGGTTCACCACAAGATGGAAACCATTGGTGAGCCTCAAAAACAGGAAGGCCAGATTAGAGTTTGCCAAACGACATCTAAAAAAGCCTTCACAGTTCTGGAACAACACCCTATGGACAGATGAGACCAAGATCAACTTGTACCAGAGTGATGGGAAGAGAAGAGTATGGAGAAGGAAAGGAACTGCTCATGATCCTAAGCATACCACCTCATCAGTGAAGCATGGTGGTGGTAGTGTCATGGCGTGGGCATGTATGGCTGCCAATGGAACTGGTTCTCTTGTATTAATTGATGATGTGACTGCTGACAAAAGCAGCAGGATGAATTCTGAAGTGTTTCGGGAATATTATCTGCTCATATTCAGCCAAATGCTTCACAACTCATTGGACACCGCTTCACAGTGCAGATGGACAATGACCCAAAGCAGACTGCAAATGCAACCAAAGAGTTTTTTAAGGGAAAGAAGTGGAATGTTATGCAATGGCCAAGTCAATCACCTGACCTGAATCCGATTGAGCATGCATTTCACTTGCTGAAGACAAAACTGAAGGGAAAATGCCCCAAGAACAAGCAGGAACTGAAGACAGTTGCAGTAGAGGCCTGGCAGAGCATCACCAGGGATGAAACCCAGCGTCTGGTGATGTCTATCCAGACTTCAGGCTGTAATTAACTGCAAAGGATTTGCAACCAAGTATTAAAAAGTGAAAGTTTGATTTATGATTATTATTCTGTCCCATTACTTTTGGTCCCTTAACAAGTGGGAGGCACATACGCAAACTGTTGTAATTCCTACACCGTTCACCTGATTTGGATGTAAATACCCTCAAATTAAAGCTGACAGTCTGCAGTTAAGCACATCTTGTTCGTTTCATTTCAAATCCATTGTGGTGGTGTATAGAGCCAAAAATGTTAGAATTGTGTCGATGTCCCAATATTTATGCACCTGACTGTAAATAGAGAAAACATACCTGTCAAACAAATTTGCATTACAGCTCTTTCACAGAGCATAGATCTGCCTGTCAGGGGATGGTTCCCTGCTGAAGTTAAGTAGCACTTACAGGTCTTCTCCTAATCCACCACCACCCCACCCATTGACTGGACAGTGAAAGAAGAAGCAGCAGATTGATGGGCCTACCTCTCTGTCATTCCACTCTCTCCTCCTACCATCAGGTTTTTTGATACCACATGAGCAGTGCTGTTGGCACCCTTTGCATCTTCTCGATTTCCTAGTCTGATATCAAGTTAAACTAGTTGTAAACCCTTACATACAGCCTCCTAAAGCACACAGTTTATGCAGCATCTCTGAGCTCTAGCAGGCAGGGGTCTGATGTCATACACTGCACAGAGCTGGGATCTGAGTGTAATCTGCGAATTGAGTGAAAGGAAAGGACACACCCCCCTCCACACAGTCTCATACGGAATCATGCACCGCTGAGGCTGTCAATCACCCTCTGTGTGTTGGAGGGGGGTGGAGCCACCCTCCTGGGGTTCTGTGGAGTCAAAAAAAATTCAGAAGTGACTCATGCAAATAACAGAGGTAATAGACAGCAGTTGGAAACCCCACTAGGTGATTTGGATTGAGGCTACTACACACTACATGGGTGTCAAACTGGTGGCCCTCCAGCTGTTGCCAAACTACAAGTCCCACGAGGTATTGCAAGATTGACAGTTACAAGCGTGACTCCCAAAGGCAGAGGCATGATGGGACTTGTAGTTTCGCAACAGCTGGAGGGCCGCCAGTTTGACACCCCTGCTATAGAAGAATACTTACACTGCTTGCATTGATAAAAATACATTTAATGATGTATTATTACCTAGAGAGCCGTGTTAATGTATGCCATTATGTCTGCCTCGAAAAAATCCCTGTGCCTATTATTGCTGGATGGTTGTGAGGCATTTAAATCCATTACCTCCTACACATGGCAAGATTGTTGTCGCTCTGCTAGAACGTACCAAATCACCAATAAATGTGTGCCTTGTGTAGCCATAAAATAACAGAGCTGAACTGGATACCAATGATCTTTCACTCGTATATTGGACGTGGGATGCTTCCTTAAGCGGATCATACATTTTACAATGTGTTTTCAATCTATGAAGCAGGGGCGGACTGACCATTTGGAAACTCGGGCACTGCCCGAGGGCCCGGGGTCAGTAGGGGGCCCCATGAGATGCCCCTGGTACCTTTTTCATAGGCTTTTTTGAGTTTGGGCAAGGACACAGGGGCCCCATGATCCCCTATTGCCCGGGGGCCCCATGATCCCCTATTGCCCGGGGGCCCCATGAGTTGTCAGTCCACCCCTGCTATGAAGTTTAAATTAAAGAGTGAAAAAATAGAAATGAAAGAAAACTGGATTGTCAAAAGACATTAGAAAGAGCTGGTCAGTGTAACAATTAGCTCAGATGAATTAAAAATTAAATGCAACCAGTTTAACATATAAAAGTTTTCACATATTTTGTAACTACTTTAGATCCTACGTGAATCCATCCATCCATTCGGATTTCAGTACAATTCAATCTAAACCGAAAGAGAAAATATATAATTAGTGAACAAATAATCTGCGTTGTTGTTATAATGCTTCTCTAAAGTCATTTTTGCAGCAACTTTGGCCTCCAGAGATTTCTCAGCGGCTCTGTGTAAGCTCTCATTCTCTGCTTAACAACTGTAAGCCGCACAGGGAGTGCATTGGTTTTAGTGAGTCAGCCGAAACATAGGAGGAGGAGCAGTATCACGGGCGGACTGACAACTCATGGGGCCCCCGGGCAATAGGGATCATGGGGCCCCTGTGTCCTTGCCCAAACTCAAAAAAGCCTATGAAAAAGGTACCAGGGGCATCTCATGGGGCCCCCTACTGACCCCGGGCCCTCGGGCAGTGCATGAGTTTCCAAATGGTCAGTCCGCCCCTGGTCCCTAACCCTCAAGGGGTGTACAATCTAAGGTCCCTAACCCTCAAGGGGCGTACAATCTAAGGTCCCTAACCCTCAAGGGGCGTACAATCTAAGGTCCCTAACCCTCAAGGGGCGTACAATCTAAGGTCCCTAACCCTCAAGGGGCGTACAATCCAAGGTCCCTAACCCTCAAGGGGCGTACAATCTAAGGTCCCTAACCCTCAAGGGGTGTACAATCTAAGGTCCCTAACCCTCAAGGGGCATACAATCTAAGGTCCCTAACCCTCAAGGGGCGTACAATCTAAGGTCCCTAACCCTCAAGGGGCGTACAGTCTAAGGTCCCTAACCCTCAAGGGGCGTACAATCTAAGATCCCTAACCCTCAAGGGGCGTACAATCTAAGGTCCCTAACCCTCAAGGGGTGTACAATCTAAGGTCCCTAACTCACATTCATACATACACATACTAGGGACAATTTAGAAAGAACTCGATTAACCTACCAGTATGTCTTTGGAATGTGGGAGGAAACCAGAGTACCCGAGGAAACCCACGCAGGCACAGGGAGAACATGCAAACTTCAGGCAGAAATACAGAAAGGTACCAGGGGCGTCTCATGGGGCCCCCTACTGACCCTGGGCCCTCGGGCAGTGCCCCAGTTTCCAAATGTCAGTCCGCCCCTGGTCTTACCTTATTGTTTCTCTCTTTCTAAATCAGAAGTTGGAACTACATAGCCTGATGACATCAGACCATTGGCTATCTGTAGTTGTTGCAGCATAAAACCTATTTTGTATAATGGATTAACATACTAAATAGGTTGTTTTAGTGCCCGATCATACCGGTGCAATTTTCAAAATTAAATTGCATCTAATGAACGTGAATGTCAGCGTCTGAACATGTGCGATTTGCTGCAGCGCAATTTCCAAAGTAGTTCTTGCATTACTCTTTCTGCAGTTTTCGATTTCACAAACAGAGTATATAATGGAAAATCGCACTGAAAATTGCAAGAAATCGTTGAAAATCTTCACAAGTAGCAATAAAGCCTTCAGAAATCGCGCTATAATTGCACACAAATCACACGATTTTAAATCGCAGTGGTGTGACCGGTGACTTAATGTTTTTTGAAAAACAAAAAAGTAACCCGTGCTTAGGTAAAATACTAAAAATCAGCTCAGGCTGCAACACTCACCTCCTTTCTGATACTGTCAGCAATAGTTTTTTGCCATAAGACGTCCTCCATCTTACAGGTTGACTGATGCCCAGTGCCATTCAACCTGGAAGACTGAGGACATACAGTGATTGCACAGCTGAGCCGACCCTTTACTGCATCATGGACTGACACCTTAGGTACCGTCACCAGGGAGCTATTCATTCACAGTGCAATGATGCAGAGAGCAGAGCTGATGTCCTCAAGTCAGCACTTCTCTCTGCATGGAGAAGCTTCCACAGCCAGCAGAATATTTACATATATATTGTACATTCACATCAGTCCCTAAACCTCAAGGGGTGTACAATCTAAGGTCCCTAACCCTCAAGGGGTATACAATCTAAGGTCCCTAACCATCAAGGGGCGTACAATCTAAGGTCCCTAACCCTCAAGGGGTGTACAATCTAAGGTCCCTAACCCTCAAGGGGGGTACAATCTAAGGTCCCTAACCCTCAAGGGGTGCACAATCTAAGGTCCCTAACCCTCAAGGGGCGTACAATCTAAGGTCCCTAACCCTCAAGGGGCGCACAATCTAAGGTCCCTAACCCTCAAGGGGCGCGCAATCTAAGGTCCCTAACCCTCAAGGGGCGTACAATCTAAGGTCCCTAACCCTCAAGGGGCGCGCAATCTAAGGTCCCTAACCCTCAAGGGGCGTACAATCTAAGGTCCCTAACCCTCAAGGGGCGTGCAATCTAAGGTCCCTAACCCTCAAGGGGTGTACAATCTAAGGTCCCGAACTCTCAAGGGGCGTACAATCTAAGGTCCCTAACCCTCAAGGGGGGTACAAACTAAGGTCCCTAACCCTCAAGAGGCGTACAATCTAAGGTCACTAACCCTCAAGGGGCGTACAATCTAAGGTCCCTAACCCTCAAGGGGCGTACAATCTAAGGTCCCTAACCCTCAAGGGGCGTACAATCTAAGGTCCCTAACCCTCAAGGGGCGTACAATCAAAGGTCCCGAACTCTCAAGGGGCGTACAATCTAAGGTCCCTAACCCTCAAGGGGGGTACAAACTAAGGTCCCTAACCCTCAAAAGCGGTACAATCTAAGATCACTAACCCTCAAGGGGCGTACAATCTAAGGTCCCTAACCCTCAAGGGGTGTACAATCTAAGGTCCCTAACCCTCAAGGGGGTACAAACTAAGGTCCCTAACCCTCAAAAGCGGTACAATCTAAGATCACTAACCCTCAAGGGGTGTACAATCTAAGATCCCTAACCCTCAAGGGGGTACAATCTAAGGCTGGCCATACACTATACAATTTTCTTACAAATTTCTGCCCAATGTCCTTTAGATTTACCTTTAATTAGGCAATGCAATGGTCTGCCTAATTGGATACAATTAAAGTGTTGTTTAGGTTTCCTTCATATTCTATGGTTTTTGGTAAATCTAAAGCACAAATCTCACAAAAATTGTATAACGTATGGCCAGCCTAAGGTCTCTAACTCACATTCATACATACACATATTAGGGCCAATTTAGACAGGAGCCAATTAACCTACCAGCATGTCTTCGGAGTGTGGGAGGAAACTCACGCAGGCACAGGGAGAACATACAAACTCCAGGCAGGAGATTTGAACCAACGACCCTAGTACTGCCAGGCGGAAGTGCTAACCATTTCACCACTGTGAATACCCAAAAAGAGGACCCAGTGTGCCATGTGACTGACCTGAAGACTTCTTAAAAAGGCAGAAAGGTGGATATTAAAAAAAAAAAAAATTACTGCTGGAGACTTCCCGAAGAAGGAGGGGAGATAAAGAATTGCAGGGAGGGAATCCTGGAGCTCAGAGTTGGGTTTTGATATATTGTACAAGCAGGGGCGGACTGACAACTCATGGGGCCCCCGGGCTATAGGGGATCATGGGGCCCCTGTGTCCTTGCCCAAATTCAAAAAAGCCTATGAAAAAGGTAGCAGGGGCATCTCATGGGGCCCCCTACTGACCCCGGGACCTCGGGCAGTGCCCGAGTTTCCAAATGGTCAGTCCGCCCCTGTGTACAAGCATACTGCAACATGTGCGGTGGGATTTGAATGTGTATTTCTTTTTCTTCTTGCAGGGGCTCTGTGCATCCCCCTCTATGTCCCCTATGTCCTCACTGGCAGATGGAGCTTCGGGAGAAGTGTCTGCAAACTGTGGCTCGTACTGGACTACTTACTGTGCACCTCCTCAGTTTTTAACATCGTCCTGATCAGCTACGACAGGTTCATCTCAGTAACCAGAGCGGTGAGTATGGGAGGCCCCGGCACCGAAGCAGTTACACGCGGCTGCAAGAAGCTGCCAGTTCCTGATGATGCAAATATAAGCATTTTAATGCAAATGACACTGCGAGGACTGCGATATACAATGCGGCGTGTGTGGATAATGCAGCGCTATACATTAATGCAGGGATCTCTGGTCTCAGATTATCTCCCTTCTCCCCAGTGTATTGCTGCAAGCTGCTTCATTAACCAAGGGCCATTATAATCATGCCGGAATTCTCCGCAGCAGATTATCGAACTAACCAATAAAATATAGAGCGTCGCTGTCCTGTATGCAGGGGCGGACTGACAACTCATGGGGCCCCCGGGCATTAGGGAATCGTAGGGCCCCTGTGTCCTTGCCCAATCTCAAAAAAGCCTATGAAAAAGGTACCAGGGGCATCTCATGGGGCCCCCTACTGACCTCGGGCCCTTGGGCAGTGCCAGAGTTTCCAAATGGTCAGTCCACCCCTGAGCCATACGTACTGTGATAAATGCATAGAGCCATGTTTGACTTCTATCCATACTCCAATTGTCCTGCAATTGGCACTGGAAACTGCTGAACATTTACTAAACAACTCATGAGGGTGTATTTATAAAAAGAATTGCATATCTGTTCCCCATCAAAGCTGCAAATATTATCTGCAGATTGCATGTGCGAAAGGCGAAAATACCGCATAACGGCCACTAGATGGTGCTGGACACTTAGAGAAAATTAATATACTCCTCAGCTCCATCTACTGGCCATAATGTGGTATTTTCTCCATATATATATATAGTGAATGCAGGGTCCGGGGAGAGCGGATATAGTGAATGCAGGGTCCGGGGAGAGCGGATATAGTGAATGCAGGGTCCGGGGAGAGCGGATATAGTGAATGCAGGGCCCAGGGAGAAGAACGATATAGTGAATGCAGGGTCCGGGGAGACCGGATATAGTCAATGCGGGGTCCGGGGAGAGTGGATATAGTAAATGCGGGGTCCGGGGAGACCGGATATAGTGAATGCGGGATCCGGGGAGACCGGATATAGTGAATGCAGGGTCCGGGGAGAGTGGATATAGTGAATGCGGGGTCCGGGGAGACCGGATATAGTGAATGCAGGGTCCTGGGAGACCAGATATAGTGAATGCAGGGTCCAGGGAGACCAGATATAGTGAATGCGGGGTCTGGGGAGAGCAGATATAGTGAATGCAGGGTCTGGGGAGAGCAGATATAGTGAATGCAGGGTCCGGGGAGACCGGATATAGTGAATGCAGGGTCCAAGGAGACCAGATATAGTGAATGCAGGGTGCTGGGAGACCAGATATAGTGAATGCAGGGTCCAGGGAGACCAGATATAGTGAATGTGGGGTCCGGGGAGACCAGATATAGTGAATGAAGGGTCCGGGGAGAGCGGATATAGTGAATGCAGGGTCCGGGGAGACCAGATATGGTGAATGCAGGGTCCGGGCAGAGTGGATATAGTGAATGCAGGGTCCGGGGAGAGCAGATATAGTGAATGCAGGGTCCTGGGAGACCAGATATAGTGAATGCAGGGTCCGGGGAGACCAGATATAGTGAATGCAGGGTCCGGGGAGACCAGATATAGTGAATGCAGAGTCCGGGGTTTAGTAACACCTTAACAGAATTTAGTCTAACACTCAGCTTTGCCCCATTCACAAAGAACAAATTTAAAATTCATAAATGCAGTACACCTCATGGTATCGATTGGTGCCCCCTGGTGCTATTTAATTTTTTTTTTTTTATCAAATAGGTTTTTATTAGCAAATTTTGTAGGTTTTACATAAACAGAAAAAACACAAACAAGAAAAGTTGGTACACTAAAGAGATTGCAGCCTATATTGCCACCGCAATCTATCCATGAACAGTATACACCAACATAACACCATGACATTATAAGCAGTCCCATCAGAAAAGATCACGACATGCTAGCAATACTAAAGGTGTACAGAGTACTACTGACTCCCCGTGTCACTCGGGGAATGCCAAGTACAACGAGATTTAAGCTGACCATACACGTGTAGATTTTCTGATGAGAATATTCATATGAAAAGTCATAGAGAAATTCTTTGAACATTCGGTGAATGGACAAATGTTGTTTGAAAATTGTCTTTTGCTTTTAACATTCGAGTTTAAAATGAATGCAATTTCTGAAGGATAACCACATACACTGGACAAACATTTGTTTGATTGAGAAAAGTTTTCCTCCCTGCGTTTCCTGTGCAAATCACATGCGATAAGTGTGATCCCAGGATAAATTAGCACCGGGGCTCGCGGACAGGAGCAGAGAACAAGGTGATGATTTGGTAGGTGTGAGGATACTCCTCATTGTTCAGTCGGCAGGTTGGGGAGGGTCCCTTATAAATAGTGGTACTGCTTAACTGCAGTGGAGGAAAGCGAGGTCACCTACCTGACCACAAAGTCTGGTTCATACGCCAAGAACTGTCCTCCTTCGCAGTGACTGTGCAATAAGTAAGAGCAAATTTGGTTTGATACGTGGCTTGTCGTGACAATTGTAACGAGGCTGTGACTGCTAATCAGAGGCGTCCCTAGGGTTGGTGTCACCCGGTGTGGTAACACTTGGTGACACCCCCTCCGACGATCCCTGCAGGATGGATCGGATCTGCGGATTGAGCATAATGGATCGGATTCCGATCCTTTATGCTCAATTCGCAGATCCGATCCATCCTGCGTGGATCGTCAGCTTTCTTTACAACTTACCTTTTCTTGGAGCGGGTCCAGTGTCACCCCGTGCGGTCGGTGTCACCCGGTGCAGGCCGCACTCCCCACACCTGCCTCAGGATGCCACTGCTGCTAATGACAACCATAGGACATGACTGTAACATGGTGGGGAAATCCTGCATGCAGCAAACCCACAACTGTTTGGAAGCGACATATACAACTGTTTTGGGCACAGAGGTAGGGCTGTCACCTCATCCCTTTAAAACCAAACACATATTATTTATACAGGTTCTGTGGCTGATTAAGATTGTAAATAAGCTCATTTAGCCCTGGTTCACACTCAGGGGCATCCCTAGGGTTGGTGTCACCCGGTGCAATAACACTTGGTGACACCCCCTTCGACGATCCCCGCAGGATGGATCGGATCTGCAGATAGAGCATAATGGATCAGAGTCCGATCCACTATGCTCCCCAATCCGCAGATCCAATATATCCTGTGGGGATCGTCAGCATGCAACCTATACAGGGTGACACTGTACCCGCTCCATGAAAAAGTAAGTTGTAAAGAAAGTCGACGATCCCCGCAGGATGGATCGGATCTGCGGATTGAGCATAATGGATCAGAGTCTGATCCATTATACTCCCCAATCCACAGATCCTATCCATCCTGCGGGGATCGTCAGCATGCACCCTATACGGGGTGACACCGGACCCGCTCCACGAAAAGGTAAGTTGTAAAGCAAGCCGACGATCCCCGCTGGATGGATCAGATCTGCGGATTGGGGAGCCTAATGGATCGGAGTCCAATCCATTATGTTCAATCTACAGATCCGATTTATTCTGCGGGGATCGTCGGCTTGCTTTACAACTTACCTTTTCGTGAAGCAGGTCTGGTGTCACCCTGTGAGGTAGGTGTCACCTGGTGCGGCACGAACCCCCCGCACCTGCCTTGGGAAGCCACTGTTCACACTGCAGCGGTCTGGGTAATCTCATGTGATTCGCACAGGAAATGCACCGCATTCCTATGCGATTTGTGTGCGGTGCGATCAAAGCCGTACATTTTGTATGGCTCTATTCGCACCCAGGGGCGGACTGACAACTCATGGGGCCCCCGGGCAATAGGGGATCATGGGGCCCCTGTGTCCTTGCCCAAACTCAAAAAAGCCTGTGAAAAAGGTACCAGGGGCATCTCATGGGGCCCCCTACTGACCCCGGGCCCTCGGGCAGTGCCCGAGTTTCCAGATGGTCAGTCCGCCCCTGCTATTGTCCATATCCAGGTGCTTCAGACTGTGCTTCAGAATTTCCCTGTGGGAAATTTCATACCAAAAATGTTCATACATTAAATCATATATAGATACATTGACCTGGAACTACATTTTGTCTTTTGCTGTACCAAAAAAGAACAAATATAAAATATATCAATATACTGTAATCCAGCGGCCAACAGCATCTTTATTGAGGGCCACAATTTCTGAGTTTCGGATTTGTTTCTGTGCACGTTTTTGATGCGTTCCGTGCATTTTTTATGTGTTCCAGTGTGATTTTTTTTTCCCCCCTCTTTTTTTTTCTCAATTAAGGACATGTGCATTCTTGCAATGTCTCAGATGGTTTTTATACAGAAAATATACATTATTATTATTATACAGTATTTATAAAGTGCCAATAGTTCGCTCAGCGCTGTACATTACAATGGGGGACAGAACAATAACAATACAATACAATGCAAAACATGAGGGGATCATGATCTACTTTTGTTGACTGCAAGGGAACGCACTGCACTGGCGTGAACTAGGCCTATTGGAATCCGCTGTCCATGCATTTTTGATGCAGAATATAAACGCACTGGGCTGCATCTGACGTGAACCAGCCGTAAAGGAAACTTGTCAGGAGACAATATACAGTATATGCTGGCATTGGTGACCATTTACAGCTAGATAACTATGATGCTGATCCAGTTGGTTTGGTCATTAATTGGAAGAAGGACTCAGAGGGCGAGCGCTGACTTATTCCAGGTTAGTGACTCAAATTATTGAAACAGCCAGACAATTAGGGGGGGATTTACTAAAACTGGAGAGTGTAAAATCCGGTGCAGCTCCGCATAGAAACCAATCAGCTTCCAGGTTTTATTTCCAAAGCTTCATCGAACAAGCTGAAGTCAGAAGCTGATTGGCTACCATGCACAGCTGCACCCGATTCTGTGCGCTCCAGTATTGGTAAATCTCTCCCCAAGAAGGTTAGCAATGGCAGGCTGAAAACCTCACTGCAGGCTACATGGATGGGCTTTAAGCATGTTTAGATGGCGTCA